AAAAAAAAAAAAAAAAAGGAACAGAAAAATAATACTCAGCATAATTTTCTGCTTTTTTTTTTTTTCTTTTCATTTCTTTTCTCAAGAATCAATTTTCGATTCGTACAATACAATATATCACCTATTAATTAATACGTAGATTATTATTTAAAAAATATAGAAATTAAAGTAAAGAGAGAGAGAGAGAGAGAGTGTGTGAGTAAGAGAAGTAAAGAAAAAGAAAAACGAAAGTAAATGTAGATAAATAAATAAAAAAAAAAAAAAAAATAAAATAAAAAATGAATAGATTAATTTGTTGTCATGTTCGCAAAGTGAAGAAAGAGATTCTATTGTGGAATGTGAGAAGAAAATAATAGAAAATAAAATAAAATAGATGATAAATGATGGAAAGAAAAGAAAGAGTACATAGTCTAAAGTTTAAGTAAAATATTTATGGTACGCGTTCGACTATATACGATGATATATTTATATACATGTACCTATGTATACAACGTAGGAACTGTTCATTGTCCGCGTACGCTCGGGGATATCACAGCTAACATCAAGCTTTCGCCCATCAGACGTTAAAGCTACAATAAATAAAGTTAATTTTATTTTTTTTTTTATTTTTTTTCATTTTTTAATTGAAATATATGGATTATAAGTTTAATTGGATTTTTTTTTTTTTTTTTTTAATATATATATATATATATATTTTTTTTTTATCGCAAGAGAACGATGCGTTTTAATATTTCAACACATTTACAATTAAATCATGAAAATATTCGTCATTTGTAGTTTATGTTTAAATCAATTGAGATTTGCAATTGAAATGCAGTGTTTTCATATTTTTATAGAGATAATTATATAGGGGGACTGAAAAGTAATCAAAATTTCTCAGATGAGTTTGTTTAAAGTTATTAAGTTTGTGTCAATGAAAAATTGAAGGATTTCATTAACCCTTAGAGTGCTATGGACGTATATATGCGTTTGGTAAAAATTACTAAAGTGGTCTATCGACGTATATACCTGTTTGGTAATATTAATGTAAAATAATGTAATGTTTATATTAATTAATTAAATTATATTTACAAAAAGAAAAAGTGTAATTATTAAATTTAATTTATTATTAGAATTTAGTTAATAATAAATTATTCTTTTCCTACAAAACATTTTAGTTGAAGGTATTTAGCATTCAAAGGGTTAATAAATAAATGTTTTTTGCCAGCAAAGAAAAATTTGGATTACTTTTTGGTCCCTTCAGTCCATTCAGTCCATATTTGAATTTTCTAATTATATTTGTTGTTAATTGAAATGAACGTATTAACAGTGTTAAAGAAATATTATTTAATATAATTGTTTAAATTAATTTTTGTATGTGATTTATGACTAACATGTTTTATACTTTGATCTAACAAAAATATTCCCTAACAAAATAATTATTGTAATTTTGATTACATTTTGTTTAGATATGTGTAATCAATATTGTGATCACTTATGTACAATTATATTTCTGTAATTTTTTTTGCAAATCAAATTTCAATGGATTCGAAATTTAAATAAAATATGAATTCTATGTTAAAATAATTTGTAGAAAAAATGTCTGTTAATTAATAAATAATTACGAATATTCCTGATGATTTGTTGTAAATGTGTGCTTGTATTTTATCGAATTAATATTCAATAATTATACTCGATTAATTTTTAATAATTCATTTCCATTATTTTAACATGAGGAGACAAATAATACTTAAGAAAGAAAGAAAGATAAGAAAAAAAACTCCTAAAATATTTCTCAAAGGACAAGTCTCTTCAGATTCCAATGTTCTTTTTTCAATTCTCAACGCATCTTTCAGTAAAATTTCGCGACGAGTGTTTTTCTTGTTGAACGTACGTGTGCTCTCTCGTGATTATATATAAAAAAA